GGCGGCTGTCGCAATTTTGTCTTAAAGATGGAAAGACATGCATACGACCAAAGGACACATTGAAGGATATATAAAATGGAAAACTGAAGGAGCCGGTTGGATGGTGGTCTTTTAAGTGAATAAAAGTTCTATTTGCCAATACTATAATGCCTGTCCATAAAAAGAACATAACACTCACGAAAATGCCTGAGCTTCCCAGTGTTGCACAATTGTTGTTTGCCAATGTTCAGTTTATGGATAATAGTATAAAAATAAAGTAACGTCTTGAGCATTGGTAACATTTGGTTTAAGGACAGAACATGGAGACATGGAAGAAGAAATAAAGACAGATGGAAGGAACAAGGCCAGATGGAAAGAGGAAAGAGAGATGGAGAAAACCAAGGGAGATGAACAGAGCCAGGAGAATGACACGGATGACGTTGAAAGAAAATGGTCGCCAAACTGGCTCACGAGCTTTTGAACGTGCTGACAAGCACAATTAAAAGGAATGGTTTCACTGAACAGGGAAAGTATTATTTCACCTCTCCCTGGCGTTACTTAAACATCACAATTGTGTCTTTTCAAAAATTGAACTTCTTTTAAATCAGTCTCCGCTTCTTCTTCTCCATATTCTTCTCTGTATTCTTCTTCTCCGTATTCTTCTTCTCCGTATTCTTCTTCTTCTTTTTCTTTTAGTATAACATGCCTTTTATTATTTTATACATATGAATTGAAAAAAAAACTTCACCTATAGGCGTGATATATCTATTTCCATAGGGTTCGAATCCGAGAAGTAACTCATTTTGTCAGCACGAGAATTATAAAACATCCTAGAGATAGCACAGTTGTGGCCGTCATTCTATGCTCTCGATTAAAAACTTTGCTGCTAATGCGCAACGTGGGTGCCCAAAATGAAGTGAACAAAATCACCAGTCTCACTTTAATCGAGGGTGCGTGCTACATTTTCCTTCTTGCCTTGCATCTGGTTCCAAATAGAATCAAATGTTGCACTACATGGTGAACAGGAAATACCTGAGACTGGGCAGTCTTGGATATTTTAACACCGGAAAATGCATTACTCTGAAATTTCGTATTTTACTCAAATTTTGCTTTGCAAATCATTATCCAGAATACCAAAGATGTATATATAATGTCCACTATATTGTATCTATCTTTAAAAAAAATCAGTTTTACATTATGTTCATGCTTTCGGCAAAGATATTGTGAAAACTACTACTAAAAATCAACAGGAATAAAGCACAGAAATTCGTGTCTCTAAAACTTGTGCTGAGTTGGGCACTATTGTTGTGGCGTCGGTGGTCTAGCGGTTAGTCTACAAGACTCGTAACGGTGAGGTTGTGGGTTCTGGAGTTCGAACCTCAGGCCCGACGTTGTGTCCTTGGGAAAGGCATTTTTCTCGAATTTTCCTCACTTCACCCTGTTGGGAAAGGGTACTCGGCCATAGACAGCGAAACATCATGTCAGTATGTTACATTTTTAGAGCCTATAAAATGGCAGCCTGTACTGTGTGCTTCTTAGGGATTTGAGACTATTTCAGCACGCTATCAGGTCTGCTTGTGTAGTAATATAGATTGGAAATAGCATAGATCTTGCCGTTCAGTGGGAATTTGAATATTATTAATATTGATAATGATAATGATAATGATGCTGAAAATTTTTTTTTTTCTTTAACATAAAAACATCATTGTGCAGATAAACATCTCTTAAAATAAATCTCCTCTGTGTCTCTTTGTCTCTTTTTGTTTCTCCCTCCCCCCAAATCGCTTTCTGTTTCTCTCTCTTTCTCTCTCTCTTTCTCTCTCTCTCTCTCTCTCTCTCTCTCTCTCTCTCTCTTTTAATCCCTCCCTTCCTCCCTCCCTCTCTCCCCCCCTGTCTCTCTGTGTGTCTCTGTCTCCCCATTTCTCTTAAAATTAACAATGTGCAGGTATCTCTCTTCAAAATAAATACGCTTTTTAATTAATAAAAAACTTAACGAAATTTACTGTGTGCTTTTTACCAGCGCGTTAGATCTGAATGATCTATGCTAAGTGTCTGGCTAAATGCTGGAGTTGCAATGAACAGGTTGTTCGTTCACGTATTGTGTTTTGTGTAGCTTACATATGTGAGGCAGCGTGGTGAAATCAGGCTCTCGTCAAAATAATCAAAGTGAAAAAACTTGCATTTTCCCGCAGGTTTGTGAATTTTTATCAAATTATTGTTTTTTGGCACAACACCTTTCATGCCCATTAAAAATAAAAATGTAAATCTTCAGGTACCACGGACTCTTAAGCTAAGGAAATAACTAATCTTTGGCGGCCATTTTCTCAGTAATTTTACCTCTGAAAACAGGTGACCCCCACCTCCTTCTTTCGCAAATATCTCGACTTGTAATCAAGATAAATGGATATTTTTTGCATCCAAATAAAGACACGTGAACAAACTTTAAGACGATACCAATAACTCTACATGCCCAAAAATTGACGAGAGCCTGATTCCACCACGCTGCCTCACATTTTTACATTTTTATGCAAGATTACATTCCATAGATCCCTGTTAGTTAATTGTCAATTTGTTTTGCCAAAAGACAACGAGTGATTACTGACTGCCAGTGGTCGTCTCTTGCCATTTTGTCTATTGTTGATTTAAAAAAAAATTCCAGTAATAAATAATCACTACCGTGTCAAAGTGTTCCTTTTCACTAAAGCAATTTATTCTCATATAATAATGGATGTTCATTTTATGGATATTAGTTTATCGGCTTTTTAATTTTTCATATTGTTGAATTCTGTTGCGCTTGGTGTTGTTGTGAGTTGAAAAAGATGGTAGTTCAGTAGTAGAAGAAAAACTTGTGTCTCTTTTAGTTCGAATCCCGAGTGGGAAGACATTTTATCAAGCAACTTAGTCTTTCTACAGGGACGATGTATCCGTTTGTGCTGGGCTTGGCTCTTTTTTTGTAGTTTTTTTACGGCGCTGGCAACTGCTTAACGGTCAATGAGCGCGCAGGACACATTAAACATTTTCGGTTGGTAGGACAATTTGAATTTTTCCCGGGTGGCGGCCGAAGCCTACTCTTATTGATTTTGGATCACCAAGGGATCTTTAACGTGCCCAACTTTAACCATTATCCGAGAAGGCTAGGTGTTCGATATTATTTACCATAAGATCAGGGGTGTGGCCGACAGACAGCAGTAAGAAGTAGCCAAGAGTAGCAGTAGAAAGGTTACAGAAAGGGTAAGGAGCCCAGCTGAAGGGGTAAAAAAAAAGGTATGGGGGGGGGGGGACAGAAA